TGCGTGGCCGTTACCGTTTTAGACGTGCGTTTTGGATTTCATCGCAAGGCTCCACTGTATCTGCAGTGCGGAGCAGAGTCGAGTACAGAAAATGCACACAAACCAAGGTGTAGTTTATATATACTCATTTCGTAAACAAAATGAAATTTAGTGATAATACCCAGGTAAGGTATCCAAAAGATGGAAACATAGTAGACACAAAAATTGGTATTCCCCCGGATCCCAAAATACACGAGATTGAACACCCAGTTCTACAAAATTTGAGCGACAAAGAGAATGCAATACCATAAACATAAAGGGGAACATAATTCCAAATAGTATAAGTATTTAAACATCAAAAGGAATATCCAGGGCGTACCTTTTGTTTGTTCCCCAATTACCCAAACAAAACTAGGAAGAGGAACTGTTATATAGTTGAATGCATTAAAAAAATTCAGAGATGGAACGCATAGTGATTGTCAATAAACGAAGAAACCCTAACATACGGAGGCAGTGGCGGACCTACCTATGCGCCAATGTCCGCAAGTGCGGACATAAACTTCTTGAAGAATTTTTTTTACAAAATTGACGAAGAAGAATGGGGGAAGAAGAAACGAAGAAGAAGAAGAAATGACGGCGGCTTACAAACTCTTTAGTGTATAGAAATGTTAATGAGAATATTAGGGATGATAAATGAGGAACTATCAGCCTCAATTGCACTTGTTCAAGACAGGATCATCCATTATTATGGATTCAAAGTTTCACATAAAAATGCATGGTATGCATAGCAGAAATCAATTGCAATGATCTATGGTGATTAAGAGGAATCCTATGCATTTTTGCCCAGGTGGGGTGAATATATGCTTCGCTTTTCACCAAGTTGTGTTTATCACCTTCAAACAAACGATTATTTTGTAACTCATCGACAAATTCCTGGAAAATGCGTATTTCATTGCATTTTATGGACATCTAGATAGTATTGCGAGGCTTTCAATTTTTGTAAACCAGTAATTCAGATTTATGTTATTTATTTATATGGCAAGTACAAAGAAAAATTGTTGATTGCCATAACTGAGGATGGAAATAACAAATATTTGCCAGTTGCAATTGCCATCGTTGAGGGCGAGACCTTGGAAGATTGGTCATACTTTCTCGCTAAAATCTGTATGCATGTTACGCAGAGGTCAAATCTATGTCTCATTTCGGCACCAAAGCATACTATTTGCTATGGAGAATCACCTTGGTTGGCAGCCACCGCATGCGGACCACATGTTTTGCCTTCATCATATTGCTAGCAATTTTAATCAAAAGTTCAGAAAAGAAAAATCGAAGAAGGCGGTAATAAATTTATGTATGGTGAACAACTTCTATCTCCAAATATAACATGTATTAATGAATTTTAATTTCCTATATTATTATTTTAACGTAAAAAATTATCGTTGTGTGTAGGTTATACTCATTTTGTGGTGGATTTTGAGATATCCTTGGCAAGGTTTCATGATACCAGTCCTGAAGTTGGAAACTGGAATGATAGCATCCCTAAGGAAAAGACCCTTTGTCTGGATTGACAATCACAGTTGCGGAGGAACCACCTGAAGAAAAAATCAGGATACCCATGGACTTATTAGCCGGGATGCCCTTGGTATTCTCCACTGCAATAATGCCTTTTGCAGCTTTCGCATCACAAATCTTGCGTATTTTTCCCTTCGATTCAAGAGCGAAGGTAGATTCCCCTTGGCTCAAGGTAGCAATGAAGCTGGGTTGACCACTCATATTTGGAACTACAATGTCAAAGTAAATAAAATCACCCATTATAGGCAAAAGAATTCGGCAAATAAATGAAAGGCGTCTAGCTCAGACTACAACGAAATAAATAAAGCATACTCAGTTCTTAATCGAACTCGGCTTGAGACTTAAAAATAAATGAAGCTGGGCTAACATGACTGTGTTGGTTCACGTAGGCAAGTAATGATACAGTCGCGAGACTTTCGGCATAGGAGAGCTCAGTTTCCTCGAGAAGATAGCTCGACGAAGCAAACTCATGATGATCATGCGACCAATAAAAGAGGAAATTCTCCCTCTACTCCTTCAGCTGAAAAAAGAGGAACCCGAGGCATTTCCTAACTTTGGCCACTACTTTGAAGAATTGATCCTTGAAATTTTTAAAATAGTCGTAAAAACATTAAAAAGTTTCCTTAAAGGACGACCATAGATGTTAACCCAACCCTTTCTTTCTGGCGAATCACGCTCGATGCGGTAAGTAAGAACAGAGAAAAAATAGAAGAAAAGTGGAACCGTGTAGGGTAAAGCTAAATAGGCACAAAAACATTCAAAGGCCTTAACAAAACCCCACTCGCTGGGATGAAGCTGACTAGGAGCGATATGGAGATGATTCAACACACCCACTTGAAACTCGGTTAATAGAAATTGAAGACTGATCTTCACGATCAAATCCCGGTAGAAAAAGAAAAAAAAAAGGAAGGCTCATCTGAATTCCTCCCAGAGCAAACTTGATCATTCTGACCAGGAGGAATAATGTCGTAACCTTCCATCTTGCCGACAGAAAGCTCAGAAATGTCTTCCGAACTCATATCGTACAGTGTGGTTAGAACCTCGTAAGTAACCCAAGAATGCTTTACTATCAAATCAGAGGAGGGCAACTCGGAACCCGACTCTGCAGAATGTGACTCTGCTACTAGTTCTGCAGAAGATAACTCTATAAATACTTAGAATAAGGAAAGTCGAGATTAGAAAAATGACATGCATACTTGAATCAAAATAACTACTACTGGACGAGCCGGACGACTCGCCCGATCTCGTAACTGGATGAATCACTTCACCAGGAGATGAATTAAACTTCGAAAAACTGTTATTATGAAAGCAAATCATCAAAGTATACTCAACAAAAGAGTTCAAGCGTTGCTTTACAAGCTTATAACTCAAATAAACATAAGAAAAATAATGGTCAGCCTTAGTTCCCTTGTTGAATTTTTGCGATATCATATTAATAATAGCTGTAGACGAGGTCCCTCCATCCACGAATTGATGGGTAGATGCCTTCAACAGATTTTGTCCCATTGTCCTCTCCGGCAGACTTTCAGGGACATCTGTGGTGGTCAGATTAGCTAACCTTGGTGGAATCCGAACAATTGAATCCGAGGAATGCGGAACTATAGATCTTGGAGAATGGCCACGACCTCGGCTATTAGGGTGATGCGACCTAGATCTTTTGTGCTACCCCCGCTACGATAACCTTGAAGCATCGCTTCTTGTTTCTCCTCTTCCGTCCGATCTATGCCCCAAAACCAATATCTAGGTTCAGGAGAAAGATTTCGAATAAATCTGGCCTTATCTGCCTTCACTCTATCACCACAGCCAAAGATTCATGGACAACTTGAATTACCTTTCCCTCTTATCGTTAGCAGAAACCCAAATGTAACAACTCCCCAAGTATTTCAAAATTTGGGAGGGAAGGAGAGTATGAGCTATTAACCCAGAAATCCAAAGGGTGCCCAAGAACCCAGAACAAAGCGTTGGGTAAGGGATATCAGGAGATTCAGGACTAAAGGCTTTAAACGGTACTGTTATTTCTAAGAAGTAGAGTACCTGGAATACGAAATACAGTATCAAAAATACACAAAGCAAGCTAAAAATTAAAATACATATGAGAATCAATGTTTAAGGATGTGAGAAGGTACATATTTAGGGAATGCTAAGGGCCGTAAAACGTTTTGAACAAAAGAAACGGAGCGATGAGACCTGCAAACTTCAAAGATTCGATGAAGGAAGAAGAAAAACTTCAAGAAAATTTAGTGTAAAGATAAGGAGATGAAAAATGAAAGGGGGGGGGGGTAAAATGAAGTATAACAGTGGAAGGCGCGAAGTGCAAAAGACGTGGGCAAAAAAGTAAATTTGCTATAGATATAATGATTTTTAAATTGATGGGACAAGCGCATTAAATGCGCACGAAGCGTGACGACGACATATGACTGTCTTAGCACGTCCCACCAATTGAAAACACCATATGTAAAGGTGTCATCATCATATAGAAAATATAAAGGCACAATTTTATACCTCGGTTCCAAGATCTTGGGTGGAAGTGAAGTATGATAATATATTACAATGAGTTATTCACCCAACATGTATTCAGGTCAGGGAGTCAGGGTCTAAAGTTTGTTTAAACTCGAATCTAAGAAAGACCAAGCTTCATTTATACATTCGATCGAGTCCCATATGAGGCTAATAATAAATTTGATGAGACAAAGCCAATCATATAGTGTGATGTAACCCGGTAGCCCGGACCCCCAGTTTACCGGGTTGAGGGGCAAATAAATTAATTCTCAATGACAGAATTAGCATTGCCGAAATAAAGCCAAAAGAACAGAAAATTGGCAAAGTTGAAACAAGAAAACTAAGCTGATAATGCAACCAATAGCAGGCAATGAAGACACAGATACTTAGCCAGATTGAGCTATAGCTCGGCACCAATCTGGGATCCTATAGGTATGGAAACCTTATTCTCTTTATTGTTATGCTGTCATTGTGTACACACATCACTCTTTTGGCTAAAGCCATTATTATCAGTACATAATGATTTGCCGTTATTATCAATACACAGTGATCTGCTACACTCAAAAATATCTAATTCATAAATATATGAGAAATCATCTAAATCCAAGATCAACTTAGTAATCTCTTCACTAGACATCCATCTCCACAATAGCTTCCATTTGGTAGCTGACACTTGACACAAATGTTATGCCAAAATTGTGAAGGTGGAATTCCAAACGGGGATGTCTGTCTTGACGTGCCGTCACATCCCATGCCGCATATCAAACTCTCTTTTTTTGTTTCCTCCGTTCCCCGTTCGTTCAAACTTTTCCATTTTCGTGGCACTGATTTTTTATTTTTTTATTACCAAAAAAATAAATAAATTAAAAAAACCAGCAACTGATTCGAAGAGTGAGTGAGATTCACGAGTGGGTCCCACGCAACAGTTTTATCTGGGCCGTTTCCTCACTCTGTGATTGGCCCTTTCCCTTCCCTGCATTCCCTGTCCTGTTCCACTTTAGCATTTTCTACAGTGCGCACCGATTCTTATCCTTCACCACCACTACCACTTCCCACTATCTCTTCCTTTTTTTTCTCTCTCTCTCTGGCACTGAACTGATCTCCAAGGTCTTCGGGTCTTGCGTTACACGATATTGAAGTGGTTGTTTGTTACTTTATGGATTCGTGTCGCTTGCGATTTTGAAAGTTTGTCTTACGGATCTGTAATCAAAAGGATCGTTCTATGGCTGGGAGTAACCAACTTAACCCCAACGACTCTAAGGTACGGAGACTCCATACCGTTACTTGCTATTTTTGGATTTGATTGAATATAATATGTTTTGTTCATGGAAAATTCTAGAACTGTAACCGTGCTGTATTTGATGCTTGCCTTCTTCCAGTTTTGATTACTTGTTGTTTGGTTTTGGGTATAGTATAACCTGTTTTTGTGATTTTTATTCTGTTTGGTATTGCACACGATGACAATAATCCCCTTTGTTTTTATTTTATTTATCGTCATCGTTTTGGGCTTTGAATTTGAATATTTTTGTTTTCATGGAAGAATAGGTCGAACTTCGGTCTGGTCGTGTAATAGTATTGGTTGGATGACTGGATCAATTCCTGGTTCCACCTTAAACAGCTTCCGTTCTTAGGGTTTGGCACTTAATTTGCTGATTTTGGGGTTTAAAATTTACTTCCCGAAAGCTTAAGCTTTCATTTTAGATTTAGTTATAATATTTTATAAATAAATAAAAAAATGCTAATCATCCATTTTTTGTTTTGTTTTTTGTTCTAGGTTTTTCTGATCATGCTCTATTATTATTATTTTTTAAAAATTAAATTTGTTGCAGATGGTGGTTCCACTAAATATGTGGGTTCTGATTTCTAATTTCAAGTTGGCTTACAATCTTCTTCGTCGTCCTGATGGCACTTTCAATCGGGATTTAGCAGAGTTTCTTGATCGGAAAGTTCCAGCAAATGCCAACCATGTGGAGGGAGTGTTCTCTTTTGATGTGATTATTGAGCGCGAAACGAATCTGCTGACACGGATCTATAGGCCTGCTGAGGGAGAAGTGAACATTGTTGACCTTGAGAAGCCTGTAAGCTGTGAGGTTTGTCCTGTCATTGTATTCTTTCATGGTGGAAGCTTTGCACATTCATCGGCTAATAGTGCTATATATGACACGCTATGTCGTCGCCTGGTAGGAATCTGTAAGGCAGTTGTGGTGTCAGTGAATTATAGGCGTGCACCTGAGAACAGGTTTCCTTGTGCATATGATGATGGGTGGACAGCTCTTAAATGGGTTAATTCTAGAACTTGGCTTCAGAGTAGGAAGGACAAGAAAGTTCACATCTACATGGCTGGGGATAGCTCGGGTGGGAACATTGTGCACCATGTTGCCTTGAGAGCTGTGGAATCTGGAATTGAAGTATTGGGGAATATTCTGCTCAACCCATTGTTTGGTGGGGAAGGAAGAACTGAGTCTGAAAAGCGTCTAGATGGAAGATATTTTGTTAGGGTTAAAGATAGAGACTGGTACTGGAGAGCTTTTCTTCCAGAAGGGGAAGATAGGGACCATCCTGCATGTAATCCCTTTGGCCCCAAAGGCCGAAGCCTTGAAGGGATTGCCTTTCCCAAGAGCCTTGTTGTGGTTGCTGGTTTAGACCTTGTTCAGGACTGGCAGTTGGCTTATGCCAAAGGGCTTGAAAAGGCTGGCCAAGATGTGAAATTGCTATTCCTGGAGCAAGCAACGATTGGGTTTTACTTGCTGCCAAATAATGAGCACTTTTCTATTGTCATGGATGAGATAAAACATTTTGTGGGCTCTGACTGTTCATAGGCTTAACTTTTGCTATACATAAGGGGACGTTAGAAGATTGTGTAGGTAATAGGTATTCTTCCACTTCTTAACTTCTTTACATTTTGGCTCCTGTACTGTAGGACTTTGCTCCCGTGATTTGGTACTTCTCTGATATTATTCAATGTGTCATGAGATTGGTGTAATCAGCTTATAGCTGTATGATTTTTCCGGTGCACATCATCAGGAAATTGGGTGTTGCGGATAGGTGAAAGCTTTTTAGGATAAGGGGAGCTATGGCCATGTTTATGGGAACCACCAAAGTTGTGATTACCCAGTCTGACTTACAGCCAAAAAGGAGAGGAAGATATTATTCTATTTCTGGGCTTGACCTTGATGGCCAATCAGTGGGGCTTGGCTTTGTCTGGCAAGTGTTATATATATAACTAATTTTGGAACTCGGATAGGGAAAGTATCAACGATATGTTGGCGCTGTTTGATTATATACGTCTATGCTATCTTCATATAAGTGTTTAAGACTGTTCACCTTTTCTCTATATATCTAATTTTACGTTTTATGTCTTGGGTTGTCCTCGTTTGACGTTGGACAGTCTTCGCAAATGTAAATGTTTTTTATTTTTTATTTTAATTTTTGGTGTAATGTTAGGGCTTGTATTATGTTTGCTTCTGTATGTATTATAGATATTTTTCAAGAGTATTCTTACGCCAGAGGTTGAATTTTTGCTCCAATGTACTCTAACTAATCCGTTTAAAATCGTTTACTGCAAGTGCAACTGATATTTTGACTGTCAATGAGGATAAGTGCTCTCAAACTTCGGTCACCTTAAATGCCTATCGTGAGTAATTTGGAAGTATTGATAGCAGAAGATGCTATAATTGTCTCTTTTGAAAAAGTTAAAAAGCCCAGAGAGACGTGTTGCCACTCAAGCGTCTTTTTTCTGAGTACCCCACAGATACAGGCCCCCGGGGTTTTCATATTTGCACCCGTGGTCCTTGTGTACAGGGAGTAGCATGCTTGAACTTTCCCCAGATATCGCGCAACAGGCACTGCTTCTGGTTTACCTATGCTAAATTGCTAATTTTAAAACACCTCGTACTATTGCCGCTTAAACGTGTTTCTCAGCTTACATCCCGCTTGATGATTTTATCTAATTGAATGCACACTTGTTCTGCAGTTGCACAGTTCTTTGGCAGTGGAAGCGCGAACATAGCAACTTAATTATCCTTCGGGTCACTTTTATGTTAAAAAAAATTTAATTTAGGTGTCCATTTGGTCAATTCTTATGAATCATGATACAAGCATGCATTCAAGATCAAGCAGTAAATATCCCACATATAAATATATAGTTTTTAAATAATAACATTGATATATATATATATTAACAGAATTGAAAGATCTGCAACACCACATAAGTTACATTTACCATTCCGTTCCAATTATATATACCGGTTCTAATTGTTACCACTTAAAAGGGAAAACAAGAATGCCAGAAAATATTTTAGCCACAGTAAAAACTATCAAGAACTTCTATTCAACTGAAAGAGACTGGCCCATTGAATATTCCTGTAATTCCTAATAATAGCATTTCTCTTCGTCGTAAGTGGTCGAACACAGTTGTCGTCTTAGCGAAGTATTATTTCTTACCGCTTGCTATCAATTATCTTGAAACACAGAAATATCACAGATGTTAACACAAAACAGCATATTGTTCTTTCTATGATAAGTAGCTGACATATTTCCTCAAGTTTTTGGCTCAATACGGATTAAAATGTTATTCTCTAACAAAGATCAAGATATATAGCTCAACTATTACATAGTATAAAAGGTAAATCTTGATCCTATTACCAAAGTAACTCTTCCGAGAAGGAAAAAGGACACAACCGTTCAGCGTCCTCTAGCAACATAGGCAGCGATTGCAGCAGCAAAAATTGTAGTTGCAGATGATATCAAAGTCCACAAGCTCTTAGTCTTATGTGCCTTGGCCACAGACTTCTGCAGTGACACAACCTGTTGCTTCATGTCATCCACCATCTCATCCTTACTTTTGAATGCATTCCTTATTGCATCCAGTTCCTTGGCATATGGCTGAATTTCTTCCTCAAGCTTCCTCTCATTGGATACCACAACCTCTGCACCCTCCTTATACTGACACACAAGTGCAGCAGTACTCTTCAACATTGCCAGTGCCCTGTTGGAAAATTCATTCTTAGCTCTCAAATCATCAGACTCTCTTTGAGTCTCCACAAGGCTACCCTGCAATTCATGCACATGGCTTTCCAGCATCTTGTTTTTCTCAGTTAGCTTCTCTTTCTCGCTTCTCATCTGCCCCAACTCAACTGCAGTTTGTTCAATCTTATCCTTCATTCCTGCAACTTGCAACTCCAACTTCTCCACTTTATTTTTCTCCTCATCAAATCCCTTTCTGATGCTATCCTTCTCGAGCATCACTTGATCAACAGAATCTTTATAATGTTCAACTTGAGAGAGTAATTGCTTATTTTTCTCTTCAAACTCCCTGCAGGACTCTTTCAGCTTATCCACAACATCCTTGAGTCGATACACTTCACCTTGCAACTCAACAATTTCATTCTCGCGAATAACTTTGACCTGCTCAATCTCATCTCTCACTCTAATAGTCTCATCAATCTCATGCTGCTTATTCTCCAATTCCTTCTGAACCATATCCAGAACCTTGCTAACACCATCACTTCTCTCAGTTAACATCTGAATACTCTTCTCCATTTCCTTCTTATCTTTCATCAAGGCCCTAATCTCCATTGCCATCTCCTGTTCCTTCTCAACGGCAAGACCAATACTCCCTTCCAGTTGGAGAATCTTTGAACGCATCAAAGCCTCTTCATTGCGCGAATTCTTCAAAGACTCATGGAGTTGCTTCAACTCATTTTCAAGGCCAATGATTTTCAGGACTTGAGATTTGTTAAGCTTCTCAATCTCATTCTTCTCCCTCATGATCCCTTCAGTCTCCACCTTCAGCATCTCAATCACCATAGCTGACTCTTGGGAACTCCTCAAAGCCAAATCCTTATCCTCCTCGAGTTGTCGAATCACTCTTTCTCTCTCCCATCGTTGCTCCAATAACCTCTCACCTTCCAACCTCAGCTTCTCCACCTCATCTCTAACCATTCTCTCTCTGTCCTCAGCCTCCATCAACCGCTTCCCCCCAGCAACGAGCTCGTCCTTTAACTGCTCCCTCTCGTTTTCGAGGCCATTCAGTTCCCCCTTGAGAGCAGCAACCTCGTACCCTCTCTCGTTCCCCTCTCCGACAACCTCGTCGAATCGAAACCCCATTTCCCTCATCCGGGCCTCGAGGAAAGCGAGAAGCACGGCGTTTTCCAGCTCGAGGGCGAGGTTTGTGTCGCCGACGTGGAGCAAGGACTCGAGCTGCTGTCTGCGCTGAGTGGTCTCCGTGAGAAGAACGGAGTTGAGTTTCTTGAGATTCTGAATCTGAACTGAAGGGTCATCCATGGCTTCAGCAGTTGGGTGGTGTTGTTTGAGGTCAAGAGATTGAGGTTGAGATGGATGAGGATGAGGGTGAGGGTGAGGTGTACCTTTCTTTTTGGCCATATTTGAATTGAGAGGATGAAGGTTTTTCTAGGGTTTTTATTTTTTATGGCTAATAGAAATGAATGAGGTTGGTGTTGTGTTGTGTTGGGATAAAATAAACACACACTATAGAGCATAGATGGGAGGTAAAGAGACGAATACTGTGAGTGTGTGTGTAGCTTTTCAAATTCAAATTTTGGGGCCCAAACCCGAATTATTTTTATATTAATAAACCGAAAACGAAACGGAACGATTGGTATGAGTATTTGCTTAGGTTTTGTTGGGCACGTGTGGCTGCAGCTTGAATCTAGAACCTTCTTGCCTTTTCGTTTTCCTAGAAGATCATACACTCCTCTCATGCACATGAATTCGTCTTCTTGGATGATTCACACTTTCATTTTATTTGAATATTGATATAATTATTGTACCAAAAAAATAATATTGATATGATTAATACCTAATAATTTATTTATTTATTTTCTTAAATTATTTATTTACTTATTATTTAAACTACTTTTTTTTTGTTTTACATATGACATTTTCTAAAATTTTTAAAATTTAATCTCTCTCTCTATATATATATATATATATATATATATATATATATATATATATATAATTTTTAAAACTTTATTCTTACGGTATGTTTGTAAGATTTAATAACGTAACGGTAAAATAGCTAATATTCTTATGGTATATTGGGATTAACGTTATAAAATTATTTCCTGTTATCCTAGAATAACATTATTTTGGGTTTAGAATAAAAAAAATAAAGAGTATTTTAGTAAAATATATGTTACATAGAAAAGTAAATTTTTTAAATTATGTTTTATTTTTAAAATGTTATTTTGGAATGACAGGAAATAACTTTATCTCTTATGACACGAAAAACATTTTCTCATAAATTTTATATGAAAATATGTTCCCATGTTTCATAAGACAATTTTGTTCTATGCATACATAAAAAGGGGATGAGACATACTTTTTCTCTTTTTCTTTCTTCTTTCTAGTGAGTCTAATTTATTTATTTTTGTATTGCATGAGACAAGTTTATCTTATACAACATGAGAAAAATATTCCCTAATATAAAATCATGTATAAATCTAAAAATATAAAATTTACTACATCCGTGACACTTAATTTTAAATTAATAAATAGTATTATAAATATAACTAATAATAAGGACTAAATTAAAAATAATGATTCATATAAAAAATAAACTGAAAGTATTTTTGTAAGAAGTAAAATAAAAATAAAGGTCATGTATAAAAAATATATTTTACCCTTGTATATTTGTTCGAATTGTTTTAGATTAGAAAATAAAATATAACTCCGATCTCCAACCAATTTTGTTTCATTGACCAGAAATCAACAAATAACAAAAGCTTTAAAATTATGTATATATAAAAAAAGGGAAGGATATTGTGACAACCAAGTTATGTTACTATCAAGTGATTACCAATCAATCTCACCGTTAGATCGATTATATTGATCCAACGGTTATATTTATTTCCATCTTTGTATGGTCATGATTCTCCATGTTTAAAGTGAAGGCATTAAATATGGAAAATCATAACCATACAAAGGTGAAAATAAATATAAAGTATTAAATTTGAAGAATCATGACCATACAAAGATAGAAATAAATATAACCGTTGGATCAACATAATCGATCTAACGGTGAGATTGATTAGTAATCACTTGATAGTAACACAACTTGGTTCTCACAGTATCCTTTAAAAAAAAAAAGCTTTAAAATCAGAATCGTTTCAATGTTATTAATCAATTTCACATAATTTTCTCCTTGGAGTGAACGGATACGTGCCACTGCCATAAAGTTAATTTAAAATCTGAATCGTTTCAATGTTAAAATTAGCAAATCACAAACTTCTTGTTCTGAATTTTGAAAGCATAATTAAATTCTTCACTTCTCCATAAAGTTCATGAGTTAGTAAAAGAAAATTCTTCGAGATTGACAACTTCTATGATCAACATTTATTGCATGCACACATGATCTATGAACCTGATTTTTCTTCCTATTTTATTTATTTTTTATCTTTATTTTAGGTGGCTTATACTTATACATGAATCAATCTTCAATCTACATTGCCTATGAAGATAACATGTTTGAAAGAAATCCATGATGCAGCGATTATGGTTGCACCATGGTTTAATTTGAGTCTAAGCCACTGAAGGCCTTCAAATAATTAAAGTTTGCAATATGTTGAAAACAACTTACAGATCGAGCAAATTGATTTTAACCATGTTGGTAGCAAAAGGAATTCTAATGATCCATTAGAGGAAGCATGAAGTTTTAATTTTTAAGCCCCAATATTCACTATCAGGCATATCCCAACCTTGTTGCGAATCATACGGTTCTATGTGTTCTAGACATTATGATCCTAAGAACGCAGAAAAAGGCACAAACTCAAGTGATCTGAAGGAAAATAAAATATATGGAAAACATAATCATAAACAAAGGGAAACATACAAACATAGAAACCGATTGGACATGATTTCTTCCTAGTGTTGTTTGCAAATTGCATTTGCAACAAACTTATATCTCTGCCTCGAATCACACTACCTAGAAACCGATCCTCCTAAGGCCAAAACCTGTTGCTCCATCTACAATCAGATAAGTAAAAAGATGAGAGATTTAAAAGGAGATATAAAAAGCACTAGACAAGATTATCATCATCCCCTTACCTTGAAGAGAGTCTCAAGCTTGCTTTTCACCAAGGAATACTCCACTTTTACTTGTTGCAAGCTTTTAAGACACCTGAATACCAAGCCTTTTTTTTCATATCAGCATTTGGAGATTTTTCTCTTAGGAAAATATATATCAAACCATACACACAACTAGGACATATGATGTTTTGACAAGATTCATAACCATAGGATATAAGAATTTTGATATGGAATTTTCAAGAAGCTTACCCTTCAACATTTTGCTCCTCACAAGAGTTTCGGAAGGAAATGCAGACTGTGTGAACTCTCTGTGCACCAATGCTGCATTTCCCAATAACAACAACCACTTCATCAAAATTATAATAGTTGTAGAAACACCATATACAGATCACCAAGAAGTATTATATTATGTGTGCCAAAAGGTTTCATAAAGCTCCATTCATTAATATTTGTGTCGGTGGGTGTTTTGCAATCTATCTACCCAAACCATGCCTTTGTGTTACGTGATTGACACAGTGACAAGTCCTGTCAATAGTAATTGACAACACTTGTTAAGAATGTGCTATTTTGTGGATACAATTTCACCAACTTAAGAAAGCAAGACCAACATTCCCAAGCTCCCAACAATTTATACAAGTTAACATGCATCTGGGAACTATTTTTAACCCTTTAACTTGTTTGAGTTGGATTCTATATTAGGTTTCAGGCATGGAGAAACTAGTTATGAAGAAATTACCTGGAGCTACTACCCTTCAACTGGTGAACATGAGCATCCAACCTTTTAAAATCAATGTTTGCCTGGCCTCTGATTGAAATGAATCAACATTGAAATTTGAGGTTTGAAAAGAGATTCCCAAAGATATATAATATAAAACAAGGGAATTATTTTGCACTTACAGTGCTTTTGTCAGCTCATTAAGAAGCCTCTCTGCATCTTCAAAAAAGAGAGTTACCACTTCAACCACAAAATCTGGGTTGCTTTCATCTTGAAGTTGCTGAAGCTGGTTAAATTGATCATCTAGAAAGCCCTTTTCAAATAGAACAAGAAAGACATCACCAAAACTAGGCTTAACAGTGAGAGATAGAGAGGGAAAGCAGAAAACAGATGCAGTGAGTAATACAAGAAACATGGTTTATGAGGCTTTCACTTCTACTTCACTGTAATGTATAATGACAATTGTATAGCATGCTTACCTCTTGGAAAAGGGATGCAGTATAATCAAAGAGTTGCCTCTGTAGCTGAACCAAGCCATCCATTATTAGTCTCAAGTTTAACCACTCACTCAAGATCTTAGGTACTCATTTCTTCTGCTGCCGGCTTTATATAATGTCATTTTTGTTCTCAACTGGAACCAACTATCATTTATGTTTTATACTCATTTTTTTAATATGGAAACAGTATTCAAAGTACAGTCACTAAATTCTCCTCATAAAATAAGGAATGAGTCACTTATTATGTTTCTGTTCTTTGATTCCCCATCAACCTATCATTTATGGGCAGCTTAACTTCTAGTAGTTTAGATTAATAGGATCACTTGATCTAAAACTCATTCATCTTTCCATCTTTTTCATTCAGTAATCATTGCCTCCCTCTTATTTTATTTTATTTATTGGAGTGTTTATCTCTTCTGTGTTACATTATTTTCTTGAAATCTAGCTTATTTTCTCTTTTTCTTTTTCTTTCTTTTTTTAATTTCCATTCCTCAACCCAAGGTGGTGACTTGCCCCTTGGGGTAATGGCAATTTTTTCAAAGTTTAGACTTAGGACCTCTCATTCTTGCTAAAAATAAACGTAGCTTGCTATTTTTTGAACTACAAAGTAAAAGCAATAAAGCGAACCTGAAGATATGGATATACACGAAGGTTAAATGGATATTATAAGAGAAATGTTATGTTTATAAAATTTTTGTTTATAAACTCTTATAAATTACATTAAGTATCATTGGTCATACTTCAATTAAGAGTGTATGATCGGTCATACTTAGTGTAATTTGTAAAAAAAAATTGTAAACAGATCCTTATATGACTCTGACTTCGGTTACAAATTGGAGGGATCAATTACGGGGTAATATTTTTTTTCTTGGCAGCACAATCAACTTGCTTCACACCTCAGTATCATTGAAGAGAAGGAAAAATAAAGTTTAGAGGGTATCCTAGATATTTTTGGTGGTTTTTGTCTTTTCCAAACGACACATGAAAATCTAGTAACATAATGAAAATTTAACTTATCTGTGAATTAACACTTATTTGGTAGGATAGATATAGGATTAGACTTGTAGTTATTCCATAGCATATCTAATTTTATCCACCTACTGTCCCTCCCTTCTTTTATCCCTATCACTTTAAGAAATTCTAAAGTATGTTTTTTCTGATCCTAAGAGACTTAATTATATCTTTAATATAAGTTGCTGCTGTTCTCGCATTGGTTGTAAATTCTTATGCTGTCGATTTTTTATTTGATGATATTTTCCATGAAATTCATTAATTCGAAAAGCGACAATTTACCACAGAATATGGCACATGCCCACAATTTTCATTTTTCTCTTTAATGTTAAGGCAGGAAAATGTTGCTCTGTTTAATTTTAGAGTAATGACGGTTCTACAATTACACTTTTTTATAAATTTCTTATATTTATTTTTACGATCAAAATATATTTATCTTACAAAAGTTATATTAATTTTCATAAATAAATTCAATAACTTCAAATAAAATGTACTTTTTTTTCAACTGTGACTTAATTTCAATTAGATATTCATTATTAATAGAAAATATCTAATTTTATTGTGAATCATCACTGAAATTAGTGGTTTGTATTGATTTTAAAATAAGAAAAGTCTTCCTCAATCTAAATTATCATGCACAAAAAACATACTTAATTTTTTTTTTTTTGTTGAAAAAAGGAGTCATTTTTCTTTTACTCGTGAGAAAATTTTATTTATATGAAAGATGTTTAAGATTTAGTTTTGGGGGAAAGATATTGTAACAACCAATTAGTGTTACTACTAATCAATTTCACCGTTAAATTGATATATTGATCCAACAATTATATTTATTTTCATCTTTGTATGATTATGATTCTCCATATTTAATATTTTATATTTATTTTCACATTTGTATGATTATGATTTATCATGTTTAATGTTTTTACATTAAATATGAAGAATCATAACCACACAAATATGAAAATAAATATAACCATTGGATCAACATAATCAATCTAACGATGAAATTAATTGATAATAACATTAGTAATAACACTAGTTGGTTGTTACAATATCCTATCATTTAGTTTGGAGTAAAAAAGATAGACTTAAGCAATTAGGGTGAAACAGTGTGGATGGAGTATCTACTTAAGTACAAAGTACTTAACATTGATTATTCTTCACTTAATTCCTTAAGTTTGCTATCCTCCTAATTGTGGCCGCAATATGTTACAACCTTTTGCGTGTGAAAGTCCAAGTTAAATAATTAGAAAAAGAGTAAATACACAATTTTACCTCTTAAAAATAACTTTTTTTGTGTTTTTAATTTCAAATTTTTAATTGTTCATAAAATAATCTTTGAATTTCTAGAAGTACTAATAAATAAGTTCTTTCGTCATTTTATTTTTAAAATCTGTAATGATTGTAACGTTTCATTTCTGATAAGATTTTTAAAAACTGATAAGATTTTTAAAAACTAATTAGTAAAAGATTAACATTTTGATACGCTCAAAAATTCAGAAATTATTTTATAAATATTGATTTATAAAAAAGAATGACTATGGAAAGCAGACACGTGTGTGAAGCTGAGGTGAGTCCTCGAGCAGGGGGCAATCTTTGAACAGTAAGTATGCACGAGTTGTCCGTTTAAACATCCAACCGGTGGGGTCGCCTAAACATGTTAGGATTAGGAACAAGATTCTGCGTGTTTGGGAGAAGTTTTTGTTAGGATTTTCGATAAATTGAAGTTGGTAATTTTATTTACCAAAGTTTGGTATGAGATTTCTAATTTTTTTTCAAAAATCTATTTTTTCTGAAATTTTATTTTGTCTGTAAATTTTTTTGAAAAGATCATCCAACAATACTACCCAGGAGTGGTATTTTAAGATTTTCATTATAAGAAAAAATTTAACACAACTAAACATAACATCAAGAAAATTAACCTAATATTTTTAGAATATTTTGGCCTATCAAATAACTTTTTAATAATATTCTCAAAAAATTCATTTTTTCATCATATTCCTCGAAATCATGATTCTGACGTAAAAAAGAGTCTCCTCTATCAAATGGCCCCTTAGAGTTAACCTTAGTATATTTTCTTAATTGATTTTTTAATAATTTTTATAATGCTTACTTTTTTTTCTATAACAAGATCCCATAATCTTTGCCCCTTTAAGATTCTAAATCAAGTAATTATATTTTCTTTTATAAGAAATAAAACATTCTCTAAAATTCTTACATTTCAAATTTTAAAATGGTTTTTATAAATCAAAGATAATTTCAAATATGAGAATTTTTTTAAATAATTAAGGATATTATTAAAAAGATCAATTCCAATGATTTTTAACTACAAAATAATAAAATGTTAAATATTTCTCGGATAGAAGAAAACTTTATCACGGGTTTGATATTTCTCATATTGTAAGAGATAAAATTATTGTTACACACACATTAAAGTATGTAGACACATATGAAAGGAAGAGAGAAAAAAAATATGAACCTCTCACACTTCTATATATGTATAAAAGATAATTTTATCTTATATAACATGGAAAACATTAAATTTGTAAATAAATGAAATCCACTTTTTCTTTTCTTTTTCTCTTCTTCTCATAATACCCCATCCACTTGCATATATTCTCTTGTTCAATTTTCTTTTCCAGTGGCAGTAATACATTGAGTTGGGCTAGCTAGGGAGTGCAAAACGATTATTAATTGTGTAATTTCTTCCACAATCAACAAGCCGAAAGTGAGTTTGGCGCTAGTGGAACACAAACTGTATACCTAGATGTTGGTGAATAATTGGAGGTTGAACACTTGGAAGGGACCACCATTGTTTTTGTCTTGATAGGGAACAGCCACCTCTCGAATGCCCAGAGAGTATAAATTAATTTGTAACGACTTATTGCTATTTTGTTTTGCCTTCATATTTTTATCTTTTGGTATGGAACCAATTATTGAGGAGACATGCCTCCCCCTAAATTAGTTGGTTTTTTTTTCCAGCCGAGATCATTGTTATCAAAATTGAGTTTTTACAATAATCAGAAACGTAAATCAGAGAAATAATCCGATCGTAAAGTTTTTATTTCTTACGGTCAAGATACAAAATTATTAATATATGCATGTAAAAAGATTATATAAGTCACTACTCAAAATTCAATAAACAACTTCATATTTAAAAAATATAAATCACGTAACTATATAAGACATAACTTCAAAAACACAAAAAGAGTTTAATAACTCTTACAACCAAGTTCTAAGACATCAAAAGAATAAAGTTTAACAACTCTTAAATTATACCAATTAATTCAAATCAAAGAGATCATCTTGCATCAGTAGTTGCATGTCCTCAACGTATGCTTCTTTTCCTCTTCTAACAAGTTCATTTACAAAACTTGAAATGTATTCGGTTCAATTTTTTTGGTTCAAGTAAAAAGGTAAAAATTTATGTTTTTACTGTTTTTACATGACCTTTTTATCAGTTTTTACTAAGGAGTATTTTTACTTACATTTTTTTTTTTTGATAACATTAAGGGGCGAAGCCCCTTTTACTTACATTTTAACATGTATCACTTTAGTAAAAAAGTAAAAACTTACATTTTATATTTTTACACTAATTTTTAACAACAATAACTCAGGTTGTATAATTTCCTCGTTGGATAGTTCTTTTGTGTCGCAATATATACCACATCTGACAAACCATTTGATAAATCATGTCTAGCTGAGATGCAGGGCCTAAGCAACACCTTAAGGGAGCGTTTGGTAGAGGATAAGTTTTTTTTACTAGGTAAAAAGAATTACTGGGAAATTATAAGAAAGTGAGTTTTCTAGTAAAGTTGGAAAAAAGTTATCTGGTTAGACAAAATATTACCAGATAAATTAATTAAAGTTTTGTAAATCTATGTTGTTTTTTATCCATTTCCCCATCCATCTAAGAATACCACATTAGAGGTGGCATTTCTCCTTTGTGTTTGTCACCCATTTTTGCTCACAATTGATAAATGATGGGCATTCAAGTTTGCTTGCTAAATTTTTAAAAAACTTCAACCAAACGTGGAGAAGACAAAATGCTACTTACAATTGCATAAGTATCTCATGAGAATCCTTGAACCAAACACCCCCTAACTTCTTTTTCTTTTATTGGATTTCTTCCCCGATAATTCCATAGATCTTTTATGTGTTAATTCGGAGTTCAAGGTGAGTCAGAATTAAGATTTTAAACCCCTCCCAAAAATAGTACTGGAGAGGATCAAACATATACTCTTATCCTCACCTGCTCAACTCTCATGCACCAACTGAGTTATTATCATTTGGTACTCCTTAACTTCGATCCCCCAAACCCCATCCATTTATGGGACAACGATCAAAATGCAACATTATTCACAAAAAATTACTTAAATGCCACATATCGGAATTTTTTCTCTCCAAAATATCACGTCACCTAACTTGCTACAACACCTGTCAAGTTAGGTGTGGACACGTGGCAGCAGGTTCATGGCCACGTAAGTCAGTGCAGCGAGATTACGTAGTAGACAACGTGTCAAACTCGCTATGCTACATAGCATGTTACGTGGCAGCTTGGCGTGTTATGTGTCTGACACGTGTCAAACTCGCTATGCTGCGTAGCATGTTACATGTCAGCTTTTCTGACACATGACCATACATGTTGTGCTGCATAACATATTATGTGTAAGTAGCCCAGCAATCCAGCATTTTTGGTTGAATAAATTCACCATTTTCCTTTCCATTTCTTGCATCATTGTGGTCTAATAAATTATAAGATAATTTAAATTATTGAATTTTGTATTTTGAAATAAAATGATTTAAGGAAAATTAATATTGGTTTGAATATTTTAGTTTTAAATAACTATTGTTAAAATAATTTAATGTAGAAGTGTTAATTAATTTAATTTAATTTATATTAAGTTAAATTATTTTTAACTGTTAAGTAATTTAATTTAATTTAAGAGTGTTAATGAATTAAATTAAATTTATGTTTGTTGATTAATTTAGTTTAATTTTGTCTATATTAATTTAAATTATTTTAGAACTGTTAATTAATTACTTTTAGGATTGTTAATTAATTTTATTTAATTTTATTTATGTTAAGTTAAATTTTTTTTGAACTGTAAAGTAATTTAATTCAATTTAGGAGTGTTAATGAATTAAATTAAATTTATATTTTTTAATTAATTTAGTTTAATTTTGTCTATATTAATTTAAAATATTTTATAACTGTTAATTAATTTCATTTAAGTTAGTTTATGTTAAGTTAAATTTTTTTTGAACTATTAAGTAATTTAATTTAGGCGTGTTAATGAATTAAATTAAATTTATGTCTGTTAATTAATTTATTTTACATTAATTTAGATTATTTTAGAACTATTAATTAATTATTTTATGAGTGTTAATTAATTTAATTTAATTTAATTTATGTTAAGTGTAACGCCTGGCAACTTGCAAGGATCAACGACTGTCCCCATACACTAACACGATACTTTTCAGCGTGCTTTGTCCTCACTCGCACACTTTTCGGGAAAACTTCCCAGGAGGTCACCCATCCCAGAATTGCTCCAAGTCAAGCACGCTTAACTATGGAGTTCTTCCGTTCCGGGCTACCGAAAAGTAGATGCATCTTGTTAGTATAGGTAGTACCAATTAATTCTTATAAGTCATTCTCAACTATACCGTCTCATACCAGCACAGTCTCTGGAATCCCTCTCTTTCGGGTGTTGATTCGATTCATTCATGTACCTCAGTTCCTAGAAGCCTGGCAGGAGCCGCTCCTTGTTTGTGCCCTTTTGCACCATGCTCTTTCGCACCAGCGATCACTCCCCGCCCTTGTCAGCGCCCGGGATGTTACATTAAGTAAAAATTGTTTTGAACTGTTAAGTGATTTAATTTAGAAGTGTTAATGAATTAAATTAAATTTATGTTTGTTGATTAATTTAGTTTAATTTACTTATATTAATTTAAATTATTTTAGAACTGTTAATTAAATATTTTTAGGAGTAGTAAATTTATTAAACTAAAAATGCTGGACTATTTGGCTACTCACACATAATATGCTATGCAGCACAATATGTATAGCCACGTGTCAGAAAAGCTGACACGTAACATGCTATGCAGTATAGCGAGTTTGACACGTAACACGTCAAGCTGATAAGTAACATGCTATACAGCATAGCGAGTTTGACATACTGTCTGTCGCGTAATCTCGCTATACTATGCAGCGGCTTACGTGGTCATGAACCAGCTGCCACGTGTCCACACCTTATTCTCCAGGTGTTGTAGCGAGTTAGGTGACATGACATTTTGAAAAAATAAATTTGATCTGTGACATTCAGGTAATTTTTTGTGAATAGTGTAGCATTTTGATCGTTGTGCCTCCATTTCTCCCTCGCCTATTCATTCGAGCTTCGCAAGATGAGTATAATCCGGGAACTCATATCGGAATAAAAAGTAATATTTTTTAATTTTATCTTTTGATAAGTCGTTTTGTGAAAATACACAGACATATCATTTAACACTTTTGTAATTGTGGGGAGATATTTTTACTGTAAAAAAAATTCATTACTAACCACTACTTATTTAATTACCAATGAATCATCATTTTTTATATTTTCTTAAATTTTTCAGCATTCTCTCTCTATTATCCAATGATGATTGAATAGGTAGTGAAGTGATAGTGAATTTTTTTGGTAATAAAAATATACATTCTCTTTGTAATTAGTATTTGGGATTAATGTTTTTCGTGTTGTAGGAGATATTTTTGTTTCCTACAAACACATAAAAGTGTATGGGGCGGCTATGTGAGGAGAAGAGAGAGAAAAAGAAAATATGAGTTCCACATACTTTTATATGTGTGTAATAAAAAAAAATGTATTTTCAACAGTAAGAGAAACATTATCACGTAATTATACGGTTTCTAATTTATATTTTTAATCTACTTGTTCACTATATGGTTCCAAAATGGAGGTCTTCAGATATGCAAATAAGAGGAAGTTGAGTCTATTTTGGATTTTTTTTTTTTTTTCACAAGAAGTTGGTTTTTTCTTGAAGTAAAAGTATTTTTCACTTGATATATGTATTTGGATATAACTTTAAAAAATAAAAAATAAAATGAAATATTTTTTAAGCAAGATTCTCGAGTTTTATAAAATGATTAATATTTCTTATATTGTAAAAGATAAAATTTTTTCCTACACATACATAAAAATATGTGGATCCATATAAAAAGAAGAGAGAGAGAAATATAAATCTCATGCACTCTTATATGTGTATAGAAAATAAAATTATTAATCTCATATGTAAACTCAAGTTCATTGTATACTGTTCGAAATTTTCGAACTTCAGAATTCGGTACTTTTCAAAGTTGATTATGAACGTTCTTTTGTCATTGGGTTAATAATTACAGCCCTTGATTTGTTATGCTTCCCCAGTTCACGTTATTAATGTTATACTTCAAAATATGTTCTAACTTTTTCCCGATCACTATAAAAAGTATAAAGGCTTACGTGAAAAACAACAAAGTGAACATTTAGCCACAATTGGAAAAAATAATAATAAGAAAAAACAACTTACAGGGCTATTTTTGAGTTTAAATTGATTTGCTATTAGTTTTGCACTTTCACTAAACATAAAAATGACAAATCATAGATAATAATAATAAAAAAAAAATGTTATTCGGACCTTGTAAATTACTCGCTTGAAATTAGTTTCCCACTTTTTTTTCCACCTTATAAAGTAACAAGCTATGATTAGCTAAATATAACACCTTACTGGGTGGACTTCTAGATAAACTTCCGCTTACACTTAGATATCCCAAACATGTCACTAGTTCCCTAACTGATATTATTTGGATTAACCTACAATTAGTACTATTTCTTATCACACAAAAATTGTAACACCTTCCCTCGTTTTTTTTTTTTTTTTTGGGAAAGTTAATTGAATTCAAAATTCTATTCTCTTGGATGCCAATATGCTAGTTATACGTATTCTGCTCTCAAGTTATACAGGAGACAAGAATATAATAGGAAATAGCATTATTTTGAAGTCCATACCTTTCAAAATCAAATTACTATTTTCCGATGGACAAATGAATCTCTTGAACCCACCAAGAGCGTCATGAGAAATATAAATAATCCTGCATGAATGAGTACATAAGCGAACAGAATAACAAGCTACTTCATAAGGCATGGTTCCATTCCTTCTTCCTTTCTGTTTCCCTTTCTCTCTCTTCCCTGCCCCCTTTCCGTCTTTTTGATTTGTTCCCTTTCCATCAAAAGCTAGGAACTATGAAAAAATTAATATAATACAAACATAAAAAACCCACCCAATGGCTGCACAAATAATTTGAAGTTATGAATTTCAATATACAACTTTTACATGAAAATTAGAAGGTCAGAAGAATCATTGGAATGGGAAGGAATATTGTGAGTGAAGAACTTTAAATTCCTTGAATCAATGGTCAGCAGCATTTAGCTTGTTGCGAGGAAATCACCTGCATTTGTCAATTAATTCCTTTACACCACCAATTTACAACAATTCGACGAGGGAGGCAAGCATAAAAAAAGCAGTTATCAACCTGCAACACAAACATTTTGTAGTTTTCAGGACAACTATTCAGTTTACCAAAAAAAAAAGGACAACTATTCTCAATACTTTTTGTTTTTTTCATACACATCTTCATGTGCTATACAAAACCACATACATGCACACACCGAAAGCAACCATAACTAAGCTAAATCTAAATGAAACCAAAAGGTTTACTCTTTCAGATTCATACCTTCCTCAGAGAAGTCAAATACATCACCAAGCATGTCATCGTTATCACCATCTCCATCAGATTTCTCCCTGCCACAGGGACTGCTACAACCCACATCAGTAGCAACTTCTGTTGATTCATGACAGTCAACTGATGCTTTACAACAACCCTCTTGAAAAAATTGCTCATAGTCTGGTGAGTCACGAATTGACTCCTCACAAGTAAAATTCATATTCAAATCACAACCACTAAAACTTGAATTGGAACTGTCACTGGCTTTTCCATGTTTTGACGATTTAACCTTTGTAGTTATATTATCAGCAAAATTTGTGGTACCTGCTAAAACATTACGTGTTAACTTTCCAGGCCTAAAAAGAGGTGATCCCAACAGAACTACTTCTCTGTTCTTGCAATTAATCTCATTACTAGAAGAGTCAAAATATAAAGAAAAATATGCTGACAAGCCTTAAAGAATGGTGGAGAACAAAGAGTTACAGAGGTCATCCAAAATATAATAGAAGATTTCACACTGAATTGCTTATCTTACCAGCATCTGCCTTTCCAGCTAACCCATGTAGCATCAACTTAGAATGGGAAATTGCAGCATTTTCTGACAACTTCTCTTCAGTTCCGTGTGAATCAGAAGAAGAGCTAGAGCATCTTCCCAGAACCATACCTCTGGCAGAAAGTTTAGAAGTCGTCAGAATGTGGATGGATAGTTATGCAGATGTTTTTAAATTTATATCACAAGAAAAAAGACGATCAAGCAACCCTCCAAACCTAAACTCAAACAAATACATAATAAAACAGTGCTCCCCTAAAAATCACACTCAATGTCATTGAGCAGTAAACAGAGAAACAAGGATAAGTCAAACTTCAAAATTTAAACCCTCACTACACAACCATCCATACCTAGACTCCATACATCAACCATGTAAATGCAAGATGGAAGTGCACAGGCAAAATAGTATAATAAAAATAGTTCCTCGACACAAAACATGATATCTCAAACTCCCATGACTTCCTAATTATATCATTTAAACTCAAAGCATCTCCATCTAGAACTTAGAGAAGAGCTGCACAATTTGATGATAGATTTAAATTAAACAAAGCTATAGCAAAAAAAGAAGGCAAGTGTAAACTGGAAGCTGCATCTCAACAAGAAATTGCAAGGATGCAAGAAAAACTGAGCAGTAGAAAGTAAGGCCACGTGCAAACCGTAACCTAAAAAATAACCCTTGACAACTCCGAAAGAGGTGGTTCAAATCTATTCATCAGTGCAGAAAATTTGAAAGCCTATTATTTAAATTGAAGGCATTCCCCACATCTGGAATGAAAATTATCTGAATGGATAGTTATTACAAGGCTTCTCTACTGGACCAACAAAAAGGCAGATAAGTGATTATTACCTGTCCCCCCAAGTAGACTGAATTCTACGGAAATGGTTAAAGACGGGCAACAAATCCTTCTGTCTTATTTCCACCTCATTGACGGAAATATTCTCTATTTCAATCTCTCCGCCGGTACTAAGCTCACATAAATTCAGCTCTCCAGCCTCCAAAGGACTCATCACAAAGAAAGACACCTAAAAATTTGAGGGAGAAATAGTTTGACTGAAAGAACATAATCATGTTGAGAAAAGTAACAAGCAGGAGTATTCAGCACAGAAACCAAATTAATACCTCAGACTCCTGCCAGATTGGTATCCTCCCAGAGCTTAACTGTACCTCTGCATTTGAGAAGTGACATTGCTTATTAAGATTTATAACATTATTGTTCCCAGCACTATTATCTTCATAATCTGAACTATCCAAGATAATTTCTGCAGCTTCCAGTCCACCAAGAGTATTCCCCAATATATATACCTCTCTTTCTGGCCAATCATATCTCCTACAGATATCCCACCATTGAACAGGTTCAACCTTCACTCGCAAATCCTCTTCTTGTATTTGCGCTGAAGGAACTGAGGCTGTTCTTGAAGCAGTTTCACTTGACTCTGCCACCAATGATGGTAATAGTTTATATTGAATTAAATGACCAGAAGGGGTGTAAACCAGTAAGTGCTCCATAGCATGAATTTTTGAGTATCCATTGGCTGAATCATGAGGTATAGAACTATGAAAGACCGCAGAAACAGCACCAGATGGAATTGAGACTTTCCTAGCTGCAGAGGAAGCAGCATTACCAACTGTATTGAGCCATCCGACATTACTATTTTTTATTCTGCTAACAACAGAAAGAACAACAGGAGATGGGGGTGCCAGGCAAAGCTGCTGCTGGTTTACTGTGAAATGCGGAGTGAACCACCATGGTAGAGAAAAATTTGGCAAAAGAACAGGCCCTTCTGTGTCCTGATTGTGTATCTTAAGAACTGTCTCACCACCAAAAGGGGCAAGAACAAAAATATGACAAGTTCCCTTGGAGGAAATGATGGCAACCCACTGACTGTAATGGCTAAAACAAATATCTTGTATTACCTGTATAATATGCAAAATGATGAAAAAACCTTAACAACTTGTTAGAGAAATATAAAAAAAATTAATATAACCTCACCCAACAGCTTAAGTTTTTGGGCTGAAATAATTCTTTACATGGTATAAGAGCCGGCATGACTAAGTGGTTATGAGTTCGATCTCCACTGCCCCCATTCCATTAAAATAAATAAATAATTAATATAACCTCACCCATTGGGCTTGATACATCATCCACCCTTCAAGCCCAATAGGCTCTTGTGTGAGGGGATGTGTTAGAGAAATATAAAAACCATTAATGTAGCCTCACCCATCAGCTTAAAGTTTTGAGTTGAAATGGTTCTTTACACAAGTAAATAAACATAAGGATTTAATCTTGATCCCCTACTCTTTGCACTATCATCCAATCATATATTGCCAAATCAATAAAGAAGTTCAACTACCAAAACCACTACCTTGGAAGTTCAATTCTTTTAATAATGGGTCAACACATCATTAGATGATAATGTAAAAAACTTTACACTAACAATTGATCAAATTTAAGCTCCAAACATAAAGGCCTTAACGAAACACTGAGAATAGAAGCATACAGCAGATGTCATGCCACGATGGAGCTTGTAAAGGTGCACATGAGAACAGCTCCAATCACTGCTTTGAGAACTTGATCCATTCCTTGAGCAGGAAGGCATGATTCGAAATATATTAATGTTGTTACCATGAATTGAAGCAGTAACTACAAGTGTCCCACTTGGGTCAAAACATAATGCAGATATAGGACTAGCATGGGCCCTAAATTGTGCCACAACAACTCTAGAAACAAAGTCTTTGACAACAACCTGCAATAGATCAGTAATACTAGTCAACAAGCATATAGAATGATTACTTTCCAGTTTCTACCAACATGAAACAAGTCAAACAACCATTAAAAGAAGGGGGAGGAAAGTGAAGAGACTTCAGCAAAATACTCAGTGCTATTAACTACCTTAGAAAATCCTTCTTCTACGGCTAAGCTGAACCAATAGATGATCTCATGTAAATTGTAATACAGATGCCAATATTACTTTAAGAAAGAAAATATCTAGTTAGCAGTCCAGCACATTGCAAAAGAAAATCAGATTATAACGTGCTAACTTGTCACCAAATAGAATACTCACCACCCCAGCCGTATCTGCTTCTGTAGAATTTGATGTAAATCGACCAACTTTCCTGCTTGAACTTGATGATAGAGGAGAACAGGATCCATCAGGTATAAGATCTTGATAGTATTTAGACAATGTTTTGTACCCCATATCGCTAAGGTTGATCAGCCCAGCAGCCAAGTGCTTGCTAGATTCCATGGCATATCGGGCTACCAGGTTTCCACTGCTGGGTGATGTTGATGGGCTGACAGCAGGAGGAGTAAGACTCTGAGGACTTAAGCAACCTGTGTTTGACACCAATGGGTTATTGGAGGCATAAGCCAACCACCGGGGCCCTACAGCCATAGGACCATAGCCAATATTAACCCCAACCATTCCTTGGCCTCCCAACTGAGGCACAGGGTAAGTGAGTACACTGAATTTATTCTCAAGAGTTAAAGCATCAAAACAGTATATCTGCCAGAAAAATAGAAACAAAGAAAACAAATTAGGCAGGTTCTAGTGATGGCAATATCAAACTAAGTCACTGTATATTATATTACGTTCATTAAAAAAAAGACGCAAGTGATCCATTAGGTGACATGATAAATTATCAGTATCCTGCAACCTTGCAATATGTAAAAATAAATTGGTAAAACCTATCAATAATCTAGCAAAAACCGTATTAAAACTCAATTTCTTCAATAAGGTAACATGAATATTTCCAAATATAAGTGGTAAAAAGAAAATTGAAAAAAAAAAAAAAAAATAGTCTCAAAAACTTACTTGAGTAGCAAGACCCACAGCCACTATTTGAGGACTGCATCTAACCATGTAGACAGTTGAACGGAATCTCAGAGCATGAACATAAGTTTGGGAACTTAGTGAGTAGAATCGAACGGCTGTAGCGGAGCTGGCAATATTTTCAGCTTGAACTTCACTATGTCCATCTCTGACGTTTTGCATTGTACCAGGGATCTTTGATTTATCACATGCAACAACCAAGAGTAAAGGATGTGATGTTCTGAATCCTTCACAGCCCTCCGATTTTGCAGGGACAGGCTGCATCTGTAAAAATGAAACTGGATCATCACGCTTTGAGACAAGTTCCCTGACTTTAGAGGCATCTTCCACATCAAGAACTTGAAAGCCATTGGAATAACCGAGTAAAAGGACATGTTTGAAAGAAGATGTGCCAAGTTCTAGCCTGTCAAAGCAAGCCCAAAGCACCTGCTTGACAAATAAAGAGGTGAATAATTCTGACTCCTTGGTTCATAAATTATAAGTGAACAGCTGACAAGTAATTATAAAGTTTGCCATAGCATTGTGCGGATCAAAATACAAGCCCATTGCTACAAATTGGGGTCAGTAAATTATTTGGTAGTACCACAACACAACCAATGCTTCTTAAGACTGGCACGTATCTAATACTCTATTCTACATTCCTGCTTTAGCATATCCACCTTTGTAAGGAAGAAATCAATATTTTTAATCTAAACATTCCATGCCACTTAACTTTGCCCATACAAAAAAATAACAAGAAATAAAAAAACCGATTGGAATTACGTATGAAAAGAATGGGACATAGTCATGCGGGTTAAGTCCTTACTTAAATCAATCATCCAGTATAAATTTAATTTAATTTAACTTAAATGTTTGAGGCAAAACATAAGAAATAACAATAAGCAGTTCAGGACAGTTTCTCAGCAATAAGAATAGCATTTTCATAAAGGCATTCAGTTATTGTAGCAACCGATCATCAGCAAGTTTTCGCGGAACTAAATTTCCCTCAATGAACAATGATCAAAACTCATACGCATATTTTACTTCTCGTTTCTGAAGAGCATTAACAAATCACAACTTCACAAGGCAACAACTAACAACTTTAGAAGAGTAGCACCCGCACAAAATGCTACCTGGTCTTTGTGGTCGTTTCCTTCGCCGGAGATGGAGGCGGCGACGGAGGCGCCGGCAGAACGGACGCCGGAGGAGGCGGTCTTAAGGCAAGACGATATGAACTTGAAAGAATAAGGAACGAATCCATTTCTCTTGCAACCGTTGTCCTTTCCCTGGTTCTTCATAATAATCAACGAGACGATTTCCTACGGGCCACCGGTGAGTCACCGGGAATTCCGTGCCCGCCGACGAGAGTCGCGGAACGCAGGCGATCGAATATAGCATAAGAATTAGAGGCGTCGGGAATCGCCGTGCACGGCGGCGGAGAGCTCCTTCGTTCGGTGTTTTAGTTGGTGGTTTGAGGAAATTTGACCTTTAACAGAGACGGTTCCCACTTTCTCCCTCTATCTTCCGTTTAGAGTTTAGACACACCGCGACTCTGCCTGTGCTTTGTGCTAATCACAAAGCTAATTTCCCTAATGTCATTTAGATCCCATGACATTTTCAATTATGTCCTCTATGTCCCCTTCACATATTTTCAAACTTCCATTTCCGCTCCCAAATTACCATCAACCCCACGCATATCCTTCTCTCTCTTTTCAATTCACCTTTCAACTCATTATCAAATGACTCACTTAATTATAAAACTAAAATTACTAAATATCAATGAACCCAAAAGTAAAATAATGATAATAAGTGATTTATCCAAGGAATTGGTATGATGGTATGTGATTTGAAGAATTGTTTGGTAGGTGAATTTTATGCTTGGAAGCGAATAATTGGTGGATGAGTGTGGGGGGCAAGTTGGAGATTACACATGGTGGACATTGAATATTGATGGGCACGTGGGTATCGTGTGGGTATTTTGGCATAAAAATTGGGGGGCGTAATCGAGTTATGAGCAAAGTGTAGGGTAGAATTCTGATACGCTAGTATTTAGGGAACGAAAAATAAAAACACAGTCCACACGGCATTTGATTAGGAAACGACAAGCAACGGGAATATCTTAAACTAGATGCCGAACCAAATTAAAATATTTTCTGTTGCCTTTCCAACTTGTACTTCTTTACCCACTTAATAATCATTGAATCGTAATTGTACATAGAGTTACAGTAAACGCTACTTGTGAATCCTTTTTCATTTATTTTTACTTTTCAAAATATTTTGTATAAAAGGAGATTGCGAACGGCAGTGGAAGATTAATTCAATAATTTTTATTGTTAGATAATACGAAAATTTTATTGCTTACATCATCTCAAAATGAAAGAAAAAATTATGATATATGCAGTATATTAAAAATATATATTTTACGAATTTACAAATACTTATTATGATCCGCGTCCTTGCTACCGTTTATAAAACAGGTACCCTTATCCTGACGGGGGCAATTTTGGTGGATTCCTATAGATGTTAGGATTTTTATCATCCCTAGCTATGTTGATGAATATCTACTGAGTAAAATTATCAAGGAAATAACTTATTTATTGTTAATTTTAATTGATATTTAAAATGTTTCTTAATCTTTAACTTTAAGGCTATACTTAAACATTTAATTATGAGTAAATAGAAATAAAATTACCATATTATTATTTAAGTATTTTTTGGTTAGACGTAATAAATTTTTTATTATATAAAATACTCTTTCATTTCATATCCTCCAAGCTGTCCGGAAGAAAAATATAAGTATTAAGATAGAATGGCCTACTTTACATAATACAAACAAATGAAACAATGACAACTAATCTCATGTGATCATTCTATTCCGTTTGATTTCAACTTTTTCCAAAAATCCAAACATAATCTCAAAAAAGTATGTATTTATAAAATAAAAAAATGAAAAACTTAATGCAGGGAAAACAATTTCATCGAAGAGTAAAAATGAAGTCACCCCGTTGTTACTCATCAATACAAACAAATGGGCAGTCAAGAACAAGAAGTTGGATGCTCACTTCTGACAATTTGATAAAAACAAGAGAAACAGCCCTTTTAAAAAACATGAAATAACTGTGTATTAATAAGTAACGCTGCCATCACAGCTACACAAGTAGCTCCATGTAAATTTAGGTAGCCTTCAAAATTTGCAAGTAAAATCTAATGTCGTGCAAATTTGTGAACGCAATAGTCATTTCCATGGACTTCCAAGTTCCAAACCAATCTATATGCATCTTTTTAGCACTAAAAACTAATAACAACATCATAGGTTTTAAATATGATGTGTCCTTAGATCTCAAGAGTAGCCAAGGCAATCTGCCTATGTCGTTTGAGATCTCTTAGATATTTTGTTGAGTTGTATTCTTGCGCATCCAGTAGCTCTTCTGAGTATGTTCTTAGGAGAGGCTTCTTTCGGCGTGCTTTTGCAGATTCCAGGATACAGTCATCTCCTCTTAGCAGTGTTACAACCTGCAGCCATCAAAGAAAAATATGATCAATCTTCTATGAAATTACATGGTTTCTGCAACCTCACTATCTTTCTCTTTTCAGTAGGTTCTTCTCTCTCTCATTCTCTTCCTTCTTGTTAGCATCTCTAAATAGTATGCAACCTAGTCCTTGCCAAACATATGTGTCAAATAAGCTAAGACCTCTAAAATGTAATTCTCGTATATTCATTTACCTCAACAAAGGAGTATATTTATACATCAGTAACAAACTACCTTCTATTTTCCAGCTCATATTAACAGATAGACTAGGAGCCAATATTAACAAAATAATCCCTACAAACAAGCTATACAGTTTCAACAACTCAAACAGCTAAAGAATAATTTAAATTTTATATTTTAAAATCTTCCTTTCAACACTCCCCCTCAAGTTGGTGCATGTATGTCAATCATACCCAACTTGTTGATTGCTGCTTCGAATGCCTTTCCAGACACTGCCTTTGTCAAGACATCTGCTAACTGCTCTTCGGACTTTATATGTGGGACATAAATAATTTTCTGATCTAATTTTTCTTTAATAAAATGTCTATCCACTTCAACATGTTTGGTCCTATCATGTTGGACAGGATTATGGGCAATTTCTATTGTTGCCTTGTTGTCACAATGAAGGGTCATTGGATGCTCATGACTGATTTTCAAGTCCTCCAGCACTCTTTTAACCCATATCAACTCACATACTCCATGTGCCATTCCTCTAAATTCTGCTTCAGCACTGGACCTTGCTACCACCTTTTGTTTCTTGCTTTTCCAAGTTACTAAATTTCCCCCTACAAATGTAAAGTACCCTGAGGTAGACTATCTACTAGATCTGTCCCCTGCCCAGTCAGAGTCTGTATACCCTTCAATGGTGTAATTATTCCCTTTTGAGAACAGTAAGCCTTTACCTGGTGACCCTTTGAGATATCTCAAGATTCTATATACCGCATTCATATGATCTTCACTGGGAGCATGCATGAATCTATTGACTACACTTACTGCATAAGCAATATCCGGTCTTGTATGTGACAAATAAATCAGTCTTCCCACCAATCTCTGATATTTGTTGATATCTGTTTCAATCTGATCCGGATACACTCCTAGTGTATGATTCATCTCAATTGGCGTATCAACCGGTTTGCAAGCAAGCATGCCAGTTTCAGCAAGCAAATCTAAAGTGTATTTCTTTTGTGATAAGGAAATTCCTTTGTTGGATCTAGCAAATTCAATTCCAAGGAAGTACTTCAGATTTCCAAGGTCTTTCATTTCAAATTCAGTCTTAAGATATTTCTCTAATAAATTCATTTCACATTCATCATCCCCTATTAGAATCATATCATCAACATATACTATTAAAACTGTCACCTTCTTCTCTTTGTGTTTGATGAACATAGTGTGATCTGAGTTGCTCTGAGTGTATCCAGACCTCCTCATTGCCATAGTGAACCTTCCAAACCATGCCCTAGGTGATTGCTTAAGGCCATACAGTGCCTTTTTTAGTTTGCAAACCTTGTTATTTTCTGGCAGACTTCCTTTAATTCCAGGTGGTATGTCCATGTAAACCTCATCTTCTAAATCTCCATTCAAGAATGCATTCTTCACATCAAACTGTTTCAAAGGCCAGTCTTTGTTGACTGCAATAGAAAGTAAGATCCGGATTGTGTTTAACTTAGCTACCGGTGCAAAAGTTTCTTGGTAGTCAATCCCATATTTTTGAGTGAACCCCTTAGCAACCAACCGAGCTTTATACTTGTCTATACTCCCATCTGCTCTCAATTTGATTGTAAACACCCATTTACATCCTATGGTTTTCTTTCCCGGTGGTAGATTCACGAGCTCCCATGTGGAGTTTTTTTGTAATGCTTCCATCTCCACATTCATTGCTTCTTTCCATTTTGGGTTGTCCAAAGCCTCCTGCACACAGTTGGGAATAGGTATACTGGACAATAGATCAGTAGTCAAGGCATATGATTCGGATAATCTATGGGTAGACACATAATTATTTATGGGATATCTCACTTTAGACCTGGGGTCAGGTTCATAAAGGGTTTTTGGGATGCCCTTGGTGCATCTTTGTGATTTTCTGGGTTGAGGATTAGAAGGGGACGCAGATGCAGATATATCTGTAGGAGCAGAGTTAGGAATTACCTCTGCATGTGAGCTAAATTGTGGTTCAGAAACCTCCACTGATGAATCCTCGGTTATAGGTGTTTGTGTGGGTGATGTAGCCACTTGTGATGGGTCTGATTCTGCATCAAGGACAGCAGGTAGTGTAGATTCTGTTGCTGGTTCAGCAGGGGCAGCAAGTTCAGCAGGTGAGATATAGGAGAAAAACTCTTCTTCTCCATGATTATGCATATGTTTCTCCCCCTGAGAAGAAGAGGGAGACACTTCCCCTGAGTAGTAAGGGATAGATTCCCTAAAAGAGGCTTCCAAGGTGACATAAATCTTATAATTCACTGGATCAAAACATCTATACCCTTTTTGGGTGTCAGAATAGCCCACAAAAATACACCTATTTGCACATGGATCCAATTTATTTCTTAAAGGCTTAGGGATGTGCACATAGACACTACAACCAAACACACGTGGCTCAAGATTTGAAAGATGAGGGCTGGAAAAAAATGATTGAAGTTTCTGGTAAGGTGTTTGGAAGTCTAAAATGCTAGAAAGTGTTCTGTTTATTAAATAAGCTGCAGAAGTAACAGCCTCCCCCCAGTATGAGCGAGGGACATTCATATCCAAGAGAGAAGCCCTCACAACCTCCAACAAGTGTCGATTTTTCCGCTCAGCTAATCCATTTTGTTGGGGTGTGTATGGGCAGGAAGTTTGATGCCTAATCCCATTAGTTTGGAGGAAGGAAAGGAAAGAGGAATTCAAGTATTCAGTGCCATTATCTGATTGAAGGGTTTGAATTGATGTTTGATACTGTGTGTGAACCATTTGGTAAAATTTTTGGAAGGCAGGAAACACTTCATTTTTGTGTTTCAAAAGAGCTACCCAAGTCATACGGGTACATTCGTCAATGAATGACACATAATAAAGGGATTTAGAGAAAGAAGGAACTTGGGCAGGGCCCCATAAATCAGAATGCACAACTTGAAAAGGAACAACACTTTTATTTATACTTGGAGAAAAGGAAATTCGGTGGCTCTTGGCCAGTTCACAGATGTTGCATTGGAAGACATCTTTATTTAAAGCAATAAATAAACTGGGAAACAACTTCCTAAGATAATTAAAAGAAACATGACCTAGACGCCTATGCCATAGCCAGACAGAATCTTCAGCCTTCTGCGAAGTAGTTGTGGCAGAAACACATTCCAATTGATGTTCACCTTGCGGAGTAGCTTCTAGCACATATAGCTTTCCTTGTTTAACACCATAACCAAGTATCATCTTTGTGGAGATGTCCTGAAATACACATAAAGTTGGCCAAAAAGTGACTGTGCAATTTAAGGTAGCAGTAATTTGACTCACAGACAACAGATTAAATTCGAGGGAAGGGACAATGAGGACAGAATTTAGAGATAGGTTATTGGATAAAAAAATGGAACCTTGACTAGTGATGGGGGAGGTACCACCATTAGCCGTGGAGATCACAGATTGCGAGGAGGGGCCAAAATTGGTGAGCTGACCGGAATCTCGAACCATATGATCTGAGGCTCCTGTGTCTATGATCCAGTTGGATTTCCCAGAAAGTGTGGAGAGGGCTTGTGGCTTACCAAAGATGCTGGCGGAAGCTACATTTGCAGTGGGATTGGGTGCATCGGATCCTCGCCCAATTGTCTTTTTTTTGGGTCGCTTGGTGTAATCCCACCAATCTGGGTAGCCAACTAATTCATAACAGCGTTGTTGAGAGTGGCCCTTCTCACCACAATGAGAGCATACATAAGAAGGTTTCTCTAGTTTGTTGCGATGGGTAGGAGCATGAGGTTCTGGGCGAGGGGAAAGGGTGGTCAGAGCAGAACTCTCAGGATATTTATGGTGCCCCATGGTGAGCCGTTGTTGAGCCTCTCTTCGTACGCATACGTAGGTACCTTCAAGGTCCAATTTTGGATCCTTGCGCAAAATTTCCCCTCTGACCTGATCGAATTCAGAATCTAATCCACTCAAAAAAATATGAACTCAAAGTCGAGTCATTGCAGAGTGCAAATGAAGAACGCCATCAACCGTGTTTGTCTGGGTATGGAGGCGGTGATCAATCTCTTGGAAGATGGAAAGAAGCTCATTGTAATACGTGGACAGAGGGCGACCCATTTGCTTCGTGTGAAAGGAGCATTGGTTAAGCTCGAAGAGACATGTTTCGTCTGAATCGTCGTAGAATGTTCGCTTGGCCGCATCCCAAATTTCTCTTGCAGTGTCGAGTCGAAGAAATCGCTGCATGAGTGGGGGGCTCGTGGAATCAATGAGCCAAGCCTTCACCTTCTTGTTGTCAGTAACCCAAGCAGCATAGCCTGGGTCATCAGTACGCGGTTTGGGAGTTTCACCGGTAAAGAAGCCACCCTTATTGCGGGCACCAATGCGCATATCCAGCAGTTGTGACCAGAGATGGTAGTTGGTTTCATCTAGAACTATGGTGATAGGGAGGGAAGAGTTATCCTGTTGAAGAATTATATTCGGGGAAGAGGAAGGAGGCACCGGCGTGGGAGAAGACGTAATGGGGTTATTAGGGATTTCTGTTTCGTTTTCCATTGAGGAAGAGGGATAAGGGATTTAGGAGGATGATTTTGGGGAAAGTAGGAAGGATACAGACACGTGTATGAGAAGAAGAATATGGGGCGTACGCGTGGAAAGGTGAAAGTGACGTGATGGAGAGAAGGAGAAATAAAGAAGAAAAGAAAATTGGGTGGGCGGTGGGAAAAAATTGTGACCAATATGAGACACAAGGAACAAGATCAGAACACTGCTCTTGATACCATGTCAAATAAGCTAAGACCTCTAAAATGTAATTCTCGTATATTCATTTACCTCAACAGAGGAGTATATTTATACATCAGTAACAAACTACCTTCTATTTTCCAGCTCATATTAACAGATAGACTAGGAGCCAATATTAACAAAATAATCCCTACAAACAAGCTATACAATTTCAACAACTCAAACAGCTAAAGAATATTTTAAATTTTAAATTTTAAAATCTTCCTTTCAACAATATGATTAACGAATTCATCAAACTTAAGTTTTTATCATCTCAAGAGTCGAGCGAAGCAAATAAACTATGGGCAATCATTTTCCCCTTTTAAAGGAAAATTGTTTTCTCCTGCTGGTGACTCATGACATATGGGATCTACAAAATAGTGGAGAAAAAGAAAATTCAAGGTGGGACCCACTTATGCCATGAATCATGAGTCACTAATAAGAGAAAAAATTTCTCCTTTAAAAGAAGAAAATGTTTTCCCATAAACAATAGGTAAGAGAGAAAGGAAGCGCAAAGAACTGAAGCAAGTTAATTAGTGACTATCACCATGTTGACACACTCCATTGAAGGGAAAATCTTCTTTGAAGTTTTCTCTTTGATTGTTACACATAATGCCTGCATAGCTCATTCTCGTCTCAGTGAAATTTACTTCTCGTAGCAATTAAGATTTATCATTATCCCCTTATCCTAGTGGTTTGTTATTAATAGTTATCTTAGGAGTGTTATTAGCTTTTAATTTAAATTAGGATTTCCTTATGCTTGTTGAAGTTGTAATTCTATAAATTATTAGCTCATTAAGCACAAAAAAGAGAAAAGAAGAAAAAAGTAATTCAGGTATCCCTCCTAATGTCTAATATCCTCCCTAATGTTCACTCTCCCCAAAATCTCTTTATACCCAATCTTCTCTCTATCTTTAAAATTTTTGTTCCCTTCATTGGTGCTTTCATATGATCTCATCCTCCTATGGCGGACAACACCCACCATAGGAATCTGAACCAGAACGTGAAGAACACGAAGCAATAACTCCATGCTGCGGAAATAGTGCACGAACAACAATATTGAGTATGCAAAAATCCTATACACAGCTTCTAGAATCTCAGAATCAGCAATTTGCCTTGCTCCAGCAAGACATGGCCTGACTCATAGATCAACAAACGGGATCTCCCAACCACAACACATCAAATGTCGGCGTTTTAAGAGTATGCCCAAATCGAGTTGGGATGTCATCCACAAATCAGCAATGTACACAACAATTAAAAAACAATTATGTTACGATGCGAGAAACATGCCAGATCATTAAGCTCTTGCTCCAAGAATGGATCGAGGAGAATGAAGAAATTGCAGCCATCAAAATTCAAAAGGCATTTTGTGGATATCCATTGAAACGAGCTGTTACAAAAAAGGTGTTCCTGGACAATCTCAGAGTGCTGTCTCCAAAAGCAATGGACCAGCCACTGGTTACCTGATCTGATAATAATATTAACCTCATCTAGGGATTTGAAGATATGCATTTAGTGAATAAAGGATTTCCTGATGTGATGGATAATTTTGAAATTGGATTTCATTCGGGTGTTCTGGTTTGCATGCCCAATGAAAAATTTGGAAGAACATTTAAGGATGACAATACTCTCAATAGGTTCTTAGCATGGCGGCAGCCCATGCAGCTCCGCTTGAAACCTACCCAATGTGTGTTGAAGACACAACGATTTGCCTTTGATCCTGGTGGAGGCACATCTCAACCTCGAGGAAGAGGTTGTTTTGAAGGGCAATTGAATGTAGCAATCAAGATTAATCATTATCCCCTTATCCTAGTTGTTTGTTATTAGATTAGTTTATCATTATCTTAGTTGTTTAATTTATTTTATTAGTGGTTATCTTATGAGTGTTATTAGTTTTAAATTCAAATTAGGATTTCCTAATCTTTGTTGAAGTTGTAATTCTATAAATTGTTAGCTGATTGAGCATACAAAAAAGAAGAAGAAAATAATTCAAGTCTCTTTTTTAATGTCTCAATATTCTCTCCTTAATAATCTTCCCCCAATTTCTCTATCTTTCTTATTTCATTATGATGAATCTTGATTGCTCTATCCTACCTATTAATTTTACCATCAACACCTTTCAAGAAAGAAGTATAGAACAAAAACAACCATATAACCACCAGATACTTGACTATGTGAATCATGATTTTCCATAATTTTCTGAAGAAATTGAAAATTTTGTGAAATGGATTAAGTTGTAAATTTTCATTCCGTGTGGACAACTTATCAAAGAATTGGTTTAGCAAATATACAATACAAGTTTATAAAGATTAAAGAGCCACATTTTTTCTAATGAAAGAACGTGAGCATAATTGGTAAAAAATAGAGATATGGCTCCAAATTTCTCAGTTGGCTGCATTCATAATTCTTTTCAGACTCTACTATCTTGTCAGTTAGCCTAACAAAAATGGTGGTGTCACGTTAGCTATCAGGAAAAATACACAGTTCAGTAACTGAAAACATCTTAGTTTCCTATGATTGTAATGCCATGTGAAATTTCATGAATGAACTAGTGTGCAAATTATTTAGCTCATTGTGTACTTGCCTGACTCATGCGGGGCCGTATTAGAGGAGACTGCTCAACACACATTGATGCAGTCAAAACAACACGACCCATCTGTTCTCGGTCATAATTATCCTCAAGAGAAGGATCAATGAGGTCCTTGATATGATTAGCTTCAAGCAAAGGTTTTGCCTACAATACGTAAGAAATCACAAAGTGCTGAGGCCTCTCATGTAGTGACACTTAGATAAATGTAATGTAATATACTATACCACTTTTTAGGAAAATGATTTACCCATATGACAACACTCTTCTGCAAATGATCCAAAGCCTTACGCCCAGTTATGATCTCCAAAAGTAGGACCCCAAAAGAATAAACATCAGTTTTCTCGTCTACTATGCCATGCATGCAATATTCAGGAGCAAAATACCTGCCAATCAAGTAATTTGGGGAATATATTAAATCATGAGAACCTAAAAAATTCAAGCGTTTGTTGTATCTTTTTATAGGCATACCCAAATGTGCCTTCAAATTTTGATACATTATGGTGAGTCCATTGTTCTGGTAACCACTTTGCAAGCCCAAAATCACAAATCTGGAGAAAATTTCAATTAATAAGGAAGTGATAAATCAGAAGAAAGATTGCATGAAAATTATACCCTACTAACAGGGGATACGAAAAGCCTTAAAAGATATTGTCTGTAGCTTAGCTGATTTACAAGCAAAACATGTATTAACAAGGTATGAAAGAGAACGTTTAGCACAAAACACGACACAGCTTAGTTTATCTATTATGCCTTAGCAAAGATGAAAGATTTTCGGGGAGTAAGAATTATATTCAAAATGCTAAATCGGACAAAGATATACAAAAACAGCAGCTTGATGGTGTTTCTATGTAAGAGACTCTTTATGATACTGTCCATGGAACTCTCAACGGATAAAGCATAGCCATCCAAAGAGTCATTAGTCCCACAACTCAGTCACATGGTTCAAGCCAACCAAAGAAAATATTCTTGTAAATTGTATTTCAGGTGGCCAATATCTCAGAGATGGGCTCATAAATATCACAAAATTAGCAGAAATGTGCATGCTAATCTGTATATATAGCACACAACCACAGAATACGATCATGGAGCCTATGTTTCATGTATCAAAGTAATACTTCAAATAAATTCTATCATTCTCTCTAATGAAGCTTAGTAAAAAACCTGAGGCTCAAAATTCTCGGTGAGCAGAATATTCTCTGCCTTAATATCTCTATGAATTATTCGTCTGTGACAATTCTCATGCAGATAAAGGAGACCTTCAGCTATTCCCAGAGCAATTTTATACCTTTTACTCCAATCTAATTTGTTTTTATCTGGACCTGGAATTCATCATGAGAGAATTAGCAGTAAATACATTTAAAATTTAAAGAGCAAGTTTTCACATACAACTAAGTACAAACCATGAAGAAGAGATCCTAAACTTCCCAGTGGAGATAGCTGAAAGACAAGCTGCATTTCCCTTTCTACACAACATCCAATAAGCTTGGCAGTATTAGGATGGTCAACATGAGCAATAACACCTAGCTCAGTTAGAAAGCCAGCTGTCTTCTCATCAGTGGTTCCTTTAGTCAGTTTCTTCACAGCTATTAGTTGCCCATCTTGGAGAATACCCTGGTAAACCTCAGCAAAACCACCTCTTCCAATTAAATTTTCTGCAATCAAAAGGAACAACAGAAATTAAACAGTCAAACTGACCCCATTTTTAATAAAACAATAATGTTTTCCCTTAGAGCATCCATACATGTAGCAACAAAAATCCAGAATGAGTATTACAATTAAACCATGATAAAATTGAAAGTATTGGCTTGACATAAAGGGTCAGATTACATACCATTGCTAAAATTGTCGGTTGCATTTCTCAGGTCAGAGAGGCTGAAGGTCACCAAAGAAGACCTCAAGTTGTCAAGATTACGTAGAACAGTATTTTCTCTAGTGCTTTTGCTTTTCCACTTTGGTAACTTTGGCACACCAATTGGGGGGATGGACGTTAGGCGCTTAAGTGGTTTTTTTTTCCACAGTTTGAAAATTTTGCTCCAGTGAGACCGAGCCCTGGAATTTGAACAACTGGTCTCCAATTCAGGTTGCAGCTGAGAGTCAAAGTCTCTAACGCAGGCTTCTAAGACTCCTCTTGGAGATGCATCATCTTCTTTCTCTTTCTCCAAGTCCAAATGTCTCAAGTCTAAGAAGCATAAAATGAAAATCACAAACACAGCACAAGGAAAGCCTTTTCAATTGGGATGAAAAATGAGCAATTAGAAAAAGAACCTTGGGCAGAAGCAGAGCAAGAAAATAATCGTCTCATGGGTTTAAGATTAAAAGCATCGACCATTGGGACCTTCTTTGATTTGTCAGCAGAGCTTTTCTTATGGTCCCTACATAGCACATAATCTCAAATATCATTAAATCATAAACAGAAAAGGACATTGCACGTTGCCAACTCAGATGTTTTAAACTTAACCCACATATGATATTGTGACTAGTACTTAACCCACATATGATATTGCAGCTCTAAGTCCATGCTAAAAGAAAATCAAAGATAAAAAAATTTCTACAATGGTGTACCCATCAACATTTGTGAAAATAGGAAGAAGATGAATGTAGGCCCCTGATAACCAAATGTAAGAACATGGAGCTAAATGCGTGCATACCATAAACAATAACCTAGCTGGTTAGGGTCACCTTCATTCGCCATAGAAGCTAACAATGGTGAGTTAGTTACAAACTGAAGTGATGTGATGTGATCCTTAGTAAGAAAACAACCCAGGAACAGATTACAGAAAAGTTCTCATTCATATCCTCACCCTCTTTTTGTCTCTTACACGAGTCCTCGAGGATTAAGGTTTTGGACATGTGGTAAAATATAACTTTTGCTGCGAGTTATGCTCTCCACCAAACAAAAACTGAAGTGAGAACGTTTAAGACACAGACAACCAAAGAACGACTTACGACAAAAGCAGTGGCGGAGACACGTTATGATTAGGTGCGGCCTCGCTCAACCTATATTTCAGTAAATTTTATTTATTATATTATAATTATATAAGTAACTATAATTACGCTATAAGACTTTCTTCTTAATTTTTTATTCTTCTTTTATCTTTTTTTAATTAGTTTTTTTTTTCTAATCTTTTTTTTCTTATTCGCACTCAATACCCGGAGTCGGAACTCAGTTATTCTGCGACAATGTACGATATTTTGTTCCTTTATCAAGATTTTATGGATACATATTCTTAGAATATGCATTGATAATTATATTATCCGATAGAAAAAAAATGATTTGCATTTTTGAACATTGTAAAAGAGAAATTTTTTATCTTTACGGACCATAATAATTTATTGGGTGTTTCAATCATGAGTGAAATTCATGCCTTTTCTTTTATTTACAACTTTTTTGTGTGGTTGTTTTACGTTTACTTTTTTTTGAAAAAAAATAGTTTAATGTAGAGCTACAGTTGCTATTGGTAATGAAATTAAATTGTTTCTTGGTGTTATTTGTATTTCATTTCACAACAGGAATAAAAATTTTGGTGATTAATCAGTGAAAACTGTTAAAGAGAAAATTCAATGAAGATATATGTATATATATGGAGTATGAAAATTTCTTGTACATACCCATTAATAAATTCTTTGTTTTTTTTTGTATTTTTAAATTTTTTAAATATTAAAATATTGATCAAATGATTTATGTGGATCCAATGTCATTTAAATGATTTTAAACATTTATCGCTGATTGTTCCATGTTTCTTTTTAATTGTGAAATTTGCTCTGTCCCTTTATGTTCATGTTCTTCACAGGTTACGACTAGGGCTGTAAATGAGGCAGGTTAGGCCTGCAGGCTTTGGCTTTAATAGCCTAAGCTTATCTAAAATATTTAGAGCTATACTGACCTATTAGTCTATTAAAGGCTTGATTGATCTATTGTTTTGGCCTGATCTATTAAAAAAAACTAAAAAACCTAATGCGGCAATTTGGGGATGCTTTTATCGCAGGGGCAGCTGGTGGTTTGTTACCTATTACTGCAGGGATCATATGGGTGGATTCTCTGATCGGTGGGTCATTACATCTGGGGACGAACTTCGAAAGAGCATATCTTCCTCCACAGAGGTCCGATAGGGACGTGCCATACGCCATTTTGAAGCTTGAGATGTCCCCTACATTGTGTCAAAATGCTTCATATAATTTTTGCATTTTTAATTCACAAATAAAATCTAGTATAGAAATCGGTTTGCACATGAAAACAGTGAGAAGTTTGGTAAAACACATTGTTTGCTGAAATTGTAATTTTTCCAGAAAACCTGCCTGTCTTGCTAAAATCATAAAAAAATCGAGCTTACATGCTTTTGACATAAACTTTAGATAATATGAAACTAGACATCTGGGGCTTTACGTGCATATAAATTATATCCCAATCGGAGGTCTGTAGCCCTAGAAACAGAACTCGCAAAGTGCTCAGACGGGTTTTTCTTGACAAGTATTTCCCCAAGACCATGAGAAGGATGAAGCACATAGAACTACTGGCATTGCGACAGGATAATCTGACCATTAATGAATATATTGCAAAGTTTGGGCAGTTGATGAAGTATGCAAATTTTGATCGGAACATCTGATGAAGAGTGGTAGGTGGAAAAGTTTGAAAGTGGTCTGCATCCAGAGATTCGCAAACTTATGTTGACTACAGCAAATCGTACTCTTCCGAAATTGATTAATCAGAGTCGGCAGACAGAAGAGATCATAAATGAAGCCAAGAATCTATCTAAACAGCCAGTACAATCACAAGGAGGAAGTAAAGTCGGTCGGTTTTTCAGAAAGATTACTGGAATGAATATCATATGAGGTAGAAATTGGTAATTTAAACAAAGATGGGGAAGAGATGAAAGCAAAGCTATCTCATATGAATGTCTGGATTGATGAGATTTCATCAACGCTATGTTCCATGAATTTCTTGATTTCTCAGATGAATTCTCAAGTTTTGCAATTACAAGTCAACTGAAAGATCTGAAGATGATGAAATGGTGTTTACTTAGGATAAGTTTGAGGACCCCAATACATTTTAAAACAATTGATTTCATTACCGAGGCAACCTTACCCTAAGGCCTACCAAGTTGCAAACTAAGAGGGTGTACTGGATTAGGATTTGAGATGATTTTAATGGATTATTTTTGGATAAAAAAATTCATTGGTATTCAATTAGGATTTTAAAGGATTGAAAAAAAGTCATGTGGTATTTGATTAGGATTTTAAAATATTAATTTAGACTCCGTCCAAATTCGTTGGTATTCAATCAGGATTTTAAACAAAGAAAAAATAATATTGCGGTATTCAAAAATCTGACGATTTTAATGAATTTTCTATTGGTGTAGATTTCATGAGACTTTTTAGTAAGAAATGTAAATAAGATGTCTCTCTCACAATCTCACCCTAACTCCTAGGATTTCTTGAGATTTCTCTATTGCTGTGTCTCACAATGTACTTTAGCATTTTCTTAAATCCAAGGTATGTTATTTTTTGACTCTCGTATATTTTCTCAGGTTTGTGTATTCCTCCTTCATGATTAATGATTGTGTTTGTCGTATGTATTTACCAGGTTTTGGTATTTCTCCTTCATGATTAATGATGTGCTTCATATTTTTTTACCAGAGTTGTATAGAGTTGACAATAAACATGTATCTAATCTCTAAAATTGAACTAATAAGCTTACCACATACATTCTTTTTCGACCTTCTTCTTTTGTATATTGTTTGGATAATAATGAGAATAAAATCCTAATATTCTTCGTGCAGTGTTTGGCAATGATACATATTAAAAATCTTAATAATTCGGTGACAAGCTCTATTAAAAATCCTAATAATCCTAATATTCTTCGTGTTCAATTTTCGTCATGCATCATTGAGAAATGTAACTGAGAGGATATTTGGTATATTTAAATCACGGTTCACAATTTTTAAGTCAGCACCTCGATTTCCATTTAAAACACAAGCAGAGCTTGTGCTAGCATACATAACTTTCTTCACAAAGAATGTTGTTCAAATAAATTTTTAATTGAATCAGTAGATGCATCTTCATCTTCAGTATCACCAGTTAAGGAATAAGATAATTTTTAACTCATTGGTCAAACCCAAGAGCAGGAATAAGAAGATGCTGATGCATGAAGGACAGTATAGCTTTAGATATGTAAAGAGCTGATGCTTAGTAATTTTGAATGTTTGTTAAAAATTATATTAAGTTTTACTGATTGAAAAAATTATATTAAGTTTTACTTTTTTATTAATATCATTGCATTTCTTTATTATTATTTTTATTGACTCTTGTAATTTTGAATGTTTGTTAAAAGTTCATATGATTTTTAAAATCGTATAAATCTATATTGTCCTTTCAAATCTTATAAATTCTATTAAAATTTATAAGATTTTTTATCTAAAAAAAAAATCTTTTAAAATCATAATTTAATACACCCCTGAAGTTTATAGGCCCAAACCAAATTGAAATGTAAAAGATAAAAAAAATTATTCACAAAGATCACATGAAATAAATTTTCATTAACATCACATGAAATAATGTTCATAAAGATCACATGAAAATGTTCATAAAAATCACATTAAAATTTCATATATGTATATGTACATATAATTGCACTTTCTTTACTAATTGAATTTTATATTATATTTTAAATTTTAAATAAATATTTATTATTGTTTAAAATAACATTAATCCTATTACTTTAAAAATTAATGTTGCAAATTATGATCTCAAAATATATTTTTAAATGAATAATATATATCATAAATATATTATATTATTAAAAAATAAAAGATATGTGTAATTATGATAAATATTTTGACATGTCAAATTTTTGACCCCGACTAAAATTAAATTTTGGCTTCGCCACTTTGTTTGGGCTAATCTTTTGGATTATCTTAATCCATGCGTGTCTCACAAATTAACCTTTCAATTTTAGGCTTTTCAAGAATACAATAATTATCTTTGTGTCATGTGAATATTTATTATAATTAGTTTATAATGGAATACCGTGCCCAACAATATCAATTGACGCGTTAAGTTAGAACTTTATTTTGGGTTTAAGTTTGCGTGATCAATCCTATTAGATGGTAATAAAATAAGTGTTTAATATTTCTTATGTTTTAGAAGATAAATTTATTTCTAATATATATATAAAAATATATGAAACTCATAGGTCTCAAATGAGAAGAAGAAAAAGAAAAAAAAAATGGGTCCAACATATTTATATATATATATAAGAAATAAATTTCTTATATATAATATGATAAACATTATATCAAAATAATACATATACCAGGAGGAGTAACAAATATAATAAAAACCATTCATATCCCTTTATTTAAGGGTTGAAATTTTCTGGAGTGTTGGCTGTGTAAGTTAATATCAGAATTTATGACGAAAGTGGTACTTCATTCTTTTACATAAAAAAATTGAATTTAAGCAAGATAAAAATAAAAATAAAAAATCATTCACAATCCTTTCACCAAGGCTATATCATTTTTTAAAATTCAATTAATGATTATAATATTTAAAAAAATATACCATTTTTAAAATTCAGGGAGTGCCAAGAATCAAAGATGTTTTAAACTTAAGTAGCATGATGCCAATTTGAGCTAGTACTTACCCCACATATGATACTGCTGCTCTAAGTACATGCTAAAAGAAAATCAAAGATAA